ATATTTTGATAAAAATAAAAAATACTACCCTTTTGTTATGTTTGGGATGAAAACATGCACTGAAATAAACTGCTGTAAAATGCATCAGATAAATATTTTTTTCTCGACTTTGCTAAATGGTAAAAAAAAAAAAAAACTGTCCACAAACCTGTCCACAAAAAATACTTTTTATACTAAAAATAGGTCATTTTGTGTGTGTGTTTTTTTACACTAAATCAGTGACATCAATTTGGAAATATGCAATTTAAGGGTTAAATTCTGTAATTTTCTAAACAGTTTAGTAGTTTTGATTATGACCGAGGTTGAGTAACAGATTTATGCAAAAAATATATAAATATTTATCTGACGCATTTTTACAGCAGTCAGTGGATGTTTTCATCCCTAACGTAGCAAAAGGGCAGTAAATTTGAACAGTGCACAAGGGTAAACCATTGATTTAAGTGTAATAAAAATTTAATTGATCAACTTAACCAAATAAATATGGACAGAATAAAGAACCCAGCATTTTTTGTTAATTTCCCATATGATAGCAGTCATTTGTGTTTTTCCATTTTACCATCTTAATTTTAATTGTTGACCAATTTAATGGCCCTGGGAAATTAAAATATTTTTTTTTAGAAGTTAGTATCAATGTGTTAGTATCTTTGAGCTAGTGTAACGCAAAACAGTGACAAAACTTGCGTTTAGATGAAATAAACATAAAAAGCTTGTTGTTTGTCACTTCCTCCTAAATAAAACAAGTTTGTTTCAGACTTCATTTTCTCATCAAATTTTTTGGCCAAATAAATGTTCTCTAGTATCTGACATGTATCACCTCCAATGAGGGGGAGCTTGAGCTCCAGCTCCTCCTCCTTTAAGCTGTTTAATGCGTACATCCACCTACCTTGCCCCTAACCCCAACCCCAACCCCAGTGACATCACTTGTAGTGCGTCCCCTTGCTGGTGCTAAGCTTTGCCCTTGTGGCTCTGCAGTGATTACAAGTTTCATTTGGCAGAGCTGTGATAAACAAACAACAACATTATTGGCTTTTTTTTTGTTGTTGTTAAAGGGGAGGAGGCTACTATATGTCCTTCCATCTTCATGTTTTAGTTGAGATTGTCAAACGTCGAATACAAACTGCATTTCAAAGCACTTTACGTGATTTTAATGTATTTGGCTGAATAAAATAATTTATTTTAAAATTATATAAAAATAATAATATACCTTAAAATTGATTTAACATACATATTTAAGAGATGACAAACACACTTTATATTTTATATTATTACATTATATTTATATTTTTAATTGACAACTTTTTTCCGTGTAAGAACATGCATAGCAGAATACAATAGTGAATGTGATTTTTTTAAGTGATGGGTGACTATGTAAAGAAGATAGCACTACAGTTGTAGCACTACAAATTTTCAGAAAAGAGACAAAAGCAAAACACTTTACCTAAAAGAATTGCTCACTTAATGTAATAAAAGTTTTGATATCAGTTTTCACCCTCATTTCAAACCTGTTGGACTTTCTTTTTTCTGCGAAACACAAAATATATTTTTAGAAATGTCTGTTGATGTTTTCCATGCAATGCCTCATGTTGTCATGTTGCTGTAGATATACATATACATATGACAGATTTTTTTGGATTTTGGGTGAATTAACCCTTTAAGGGTTTGAAACAAGGCTGTCATAAACTGTACATAACATGTACAGTTGAAGTCATAATTATTAGCCCCCTTCGATTTTTTTTTTTCTTCTTTTTAAAATATTTTCCAAATGATGTTTAACAGAACAAGTACATTTTCACATTATGTCTGATTATATTTTTTCTTCTGGAGAAAGTCTTATTTGTTTTATTTCGGCTAGAATAAAAGCAGTTTTTAATTGTTTATAAACCATTTTAGGGACAAAATGATTAGCCCCTTTAAGCAATATTTTTTCTCGATAATCTACAGAAGAAACCATCATTATAAAAATAACTTGCCTAATTACCCTAACCTGCCTAGTTAACCTAATTAACCTAGTTAAGCCTTTAAATGTCACTTTAAGCTGTATAGAAGTGTCTTGAAAAATATCTAGTGAAATATTATTTACTGTCATCATGGCAAAGATAAAATAAATCCGTTATTAGAAATGAGTTATTAAAACAATTATGATTAGAAATGTGTTGAAAAAAATTTCTCTTCGTTAAACAGAAATTGGGGAAAAAATAAACAAGCGGTCTAATAATTTAGGGGGGCTAATAATTCTGACTTCAACTGTATTTCCCTTAGGAATGATCAAAAAACAAACAAAAGTTGCTTCTGCTGTGATGCTGACAGATGACGCCAGCAGTGATGTAGACCATAAGTGCATGGAGAATTAAAAGAGTCTATATGGCATTGCTGCTACTAAGTTGAGTTATGCAGTAGAGGAAAGGATTTTGGGCTTTTGTGACAAGACAGCCAGTACAAAACACCACTTTTATACAGCTTTGTTTTATTTATGTTCATATATGCAGAAATCAATTCAACCTTCTTGATTGCATCAAATGCATAATTAACACATGCATTTGGCAGATGCTTTTATGCTAAAAAATCTTGCTTTTTTTGAATTGAATTGAATCCAAAAGCTTTTAGTTTCTAGTACCATATTTGAGCCACAGGAGGTACACTATGCAAATTGATGGCTGATCAGGAAGCAACATGTTGTCCAGAGCACATCAAGAATTGTGGAATCCAAAAATTACATGAGAAACACACTTGCACTTGCTGTTTATTCAAACTACTTGAGCAAAAACATGTTGGTGTAACTACCAGGTAGTGGATATATAGTTCCTAGCATGATTTGTGTGGGATTGCATAAGGAGGGGTAAATGTTGACAGTAGACGTAATCTTAGGTGTTTTGAGTTAAGAGAAAGACTTGTTAGAGTTTAATCTTGACTTAGTTTGAAGATTTTAAAAAGTTTTGCAAGAGTATAGCACTCATGCTTTGAATGTTGGCAGCTTAATTAATAACTTTGATGTTTGTGGCTGTGAGCCATAACTATTCCAATGCTGTTTTGAGATCTGTCTCAGTCAGTAGTAAGCATGGTCAAGTTTAAACTGCAATAATTAACAGAAAATTCTGGATGATTTTAAATGATTAGGATTGCTCAACAACAGACGATGTGTATCATCTCAATACTGATGTACTCTGTAAGACCAGGAATGTGTAATAATTAACTAATTAACCTTTAACTCAGCCGTTTGCAGCCAGTTGCCATCCCCTCTGTGAATGTTTGGCACTGTGTTCATCCTAGCACAGGTTTGCACTTCTGAACGCTCAAACTTTCCATTTCTTATTAAAATTCATCATCTCGGTAGTGATACGATTATATATTTTTTTGTTAAAAGAAATATTTAAAAATGAAAATGACCTAATCATTTAATCTTCCTCTTGTGACATTTTAAACCTTTTAAATCAATTTTTCTGTTTTAACACAAAATATTTAATAATAAAAAAAGAAATCTGATACAAATAAAAAACCTATTTGCTGAACAGAAGATATTGTAAAATAGTTGCTGGAAATTTAATGAAAGTCAATAGGTCACAGCAACCAGCATTTTTTTGAAATATCATCTTTTCAGCTGAAGAAAGAAACTCAAATTAGTTTTGAACAAGTAAAAAGAGTAAACGATAGCAATTTTCATTTTTGGGTGAATTATCCTTTTAAGTGTTTTGTTCATCAGTAGGGCTGCATGATATTAGAAAAATCTAGCATTGCGATATTCTTTTATTTTGCGATATATATTGTGATATGAATAGAATTTCACCAGATGAATTAATATATCTATTAGGAAAGAATGTAAAATGATTGGGATGATTTTGCAGTGGGAGTGCATCTCCATAAAATTTAATAAATTATAAACTTTTTGTGGGCCCCTAGGGTTGGGTCGATAGATGATGCCATCGTCCATCGCTGATGACCGATGGTGAGCTGGCATTGGGATCCTCCGCTTCGCCCCGTTGCAGCAGCAACCCACTCACGAAAAATACACACTTAGGCCCCGTTTACACTAATACGTCTTAGTTTTAAAATGGCATTTTAGAACGAAAACGATCCACGTCTACACTGGCGTTTCACCTAGCATTTATAAAAATTCCTCACAAAACCCAGACAGCAGTGCATGTCGGACAGTTTATAAAGGATGTACCGCTGGATCTTACCTCACTATAGTTGTTAAATGTGATATTTAATTAACCATGTCTCTATCTAACGTTTTTTTTGGGTCTTTTGTATCTTTCAAGTAATGTGTCACAGCGTCAGTACACTGCTTTAATTTTCGCTTTCACTCTTGTACGTAGTAATTTTAGTGAAAACCTCAGATACTGTTGGTTGTGCACCTTTTTTCTTATCAAGTTTGTCGACGACATTATAACGACACAGACCACTCTGCCTATTCATACCAGAGCCCTGCCGAAAAAGTAATTGACAGGTGGTAATTTGTGTGTAACTTATCTTTATTTATTTATGATTTGGTTATGAGTAAAACAAAGACCATTTGGGTCAGGTAGTTGAAATGGTAGGCTACAAATAATTAGCTTTTGAATTAATTAACTATTTATAAATAATTCACAGTCGCCTATGACAACGATGCTGTCGTCCATCATGATGTTTCACATTAGACATTGTACGATGCCAATTTGGTCGACATTGCCCAACCCTAGGTCTCTCGACACATTTTCCATATGGTCTGTGCTATTTTAGAGTGCATTTCTAAATTTGCATGTGTTGTGAGTATTTTCATGCATAACAGACTTTAAATAGGTTTAAAAAAGGATACAATTGAAATGAAGTGTTTTATCATTTCCCAAGATCAAAAATGGGGCAATTTCTTATACCTGAGTGCTTTTAAGGTCTTTATACAATTACCGGCATTAAATATGCATGCAAATGATGATCCTGCAAATGATCACTGCAAATAATCACATTGTGATATCGATGCTTAAACAATATATTGTTCAGCCCTATTCATAAGTCTAGATTTTGTTTTCACATTATGTCTCAGTTTAGATCCTTTATATCCAGTTCAACACTCAAGACAACTGTTCGGCCAGCAGTTGTCATCAGAGTCTGTGTGTATGAGAGATGCATAGAGCGCTTGTCTGTTTACTTGCATTCTCTGGCAGCGCTCGCCGGCTCTGAAATGCCATGAGGGAGGCTGTGCATGTATGTGTGCGTTTAAATCCAGACCCTCCGGCTAATAAAGGGGGCAGTTCATGTCACACTGTACCATGTGTGGGTGGTGGGTGGCCCAAGCCCGACCTTCCTCTTCTTGTCTCTCTTGGTCTTTGCAGCCTTGTGTGTAACAAAACTCTGTCTTTCCGCTGTGTTGATTTTCCTATCAGACGCCTATCATGCCTTTTCTCCTGGGGTTTAGAAAGGTAAAACTAGAGCACAGGAATCAGAATTTTATGATTTATTTAAGCATTTCTATAATGCCATTTGCATTCTGTGTATTACAGTTTGCTTATTCATGTGTTTGTATAGCAGCCTGCATCTTATTGAGATAATGTGCTTTTTGTTATTACCTGGTTGTGAATGAAAATCAGTTATTTCATTTATATAGTCTTATCCGCCTCTGCTTAGTTTAGTACATTTTATTAAAAATTGAGATTGGCTGATGTTTTTCTGATTTTAAGTGTAAGTCTTTTAGCAATTTGGTTGTCTTTTTGTCATTTTTAGTTATTTTATAATTTTTTTATACATATATTGTCTGTTTTCAATGTAAAAGTAATGTTTTAGTCATTTGATGTTTTTTGTCAATATAATTAATTTATGTGGTTATTTTTTTAGGTTTGTACAGGTTTTAAAAAAAAATGTATTTAGTTTTTAAAAGTTAATTGAAATATATGTATTTCCTAATTGGAAACTAAATAAAATCAAAAACAAAAGTGTTTTAAAATATTTTAGATATTGTTAGTGAATATTTCATAAATTTAAAATAACTAAACTTTTAATAAATTACACTACTTTTAATTTTTAATGTGCTTTAGTTATTTTTGAGCTAGCTCATTTCATTATTGCTAATATTTACTATACACATAATATTTACTATATATATATATTCCTTTTTTTTGTAACAGGGACGATTGATTTGTGTAGGAGTCAACAACCAGAGCTACTACTGTGATTCAGGCTACTGTTGTGATGAATCTCAGTGTTGCAGCTATTACTACGAGGTGTGGTGTAAGTATCTGAATCCCTGCTGCCAATAAAATCTGCTCAGTCCATGGTGTAAATGCTGTTTGCTGTAGTCTAAAACATCCTCCACCTCCTCAAGTATATATTTGAAGCTTTCCTTTAAAAAAAAAAAAAACAGATAACTCAGTTTTTTTTCCCCCTCAAAAGTCATGTTTTAACCCGGTTAAGTCTTTAATGTACAAAAAACGTATAAAAAGTGACCTATTTTTGGAAATGAGAACAATTGTTTATGTATAATACACTTATTGGCATAATGAAGTCACAGGACACTCCAAACCTTTCTTGTTTATGATTACATTTGATTAAACTGTAAAGTGATTCTGCGTTGAAATACAGTTGTAATATTATTTAGGGGTGTAAAATACCAACTGCGTTTGCTCTCAAGCTGTTTACAGTGAACAGCCAAATCTTCTGATGCCAGCTATGAGCCTGACAAGAGGTGGCAAGTTTTGAGAAAAGACATCCAAGTGATGGCTCATGTTTGACACTGTAATTGTTTTGTTTCCGTAAATAGTAACAAGATTCAGGTGTTCAATCATGCAGCTTATTGGAACCAGATCTGCTGCAATTTCCTGAACACATTTCAGTGACCTCACTGTACAACAGACATGACCGCTTTTGTTCTGCAGTAATCTTTTTGAAGGGAACTTTGGAGTTTTTAATTATGGCTCTGATTTTTTTGTGTGCTGCTTCTATCTTTTATGTGATTGGCTGGCTGTGATCTAGTTGTTGTTCTGCTCTGTTCACGCCCGTTGGCAGTGTTCGTGAGTTATCAGATTACTCCTCTCCCTCCAGTGTACCATCTATTTTAATAACTGAGGACTAACCTCATCTCCACGGTAATTACAGCACATCGTCTGCTGAGTCAAGGGGCTGCACTTGGTGTTTTGTGCATCGTGCCAAATGCATGCGACTCGGACAGACACAAATCCAGTGTAACCGGATCAGAGCAGCCCCTGTAAACAGCTGCCTTAAATTTCTCTATTAGGAAAAGTGGACCCCCCGTCTGCCAGAAAAGGTCTCTGCTTTATTTGGGGCAAAGTTTCACACACTTGGATCTCACATGGCGTTGACCTACGCAGCTCTAGCCTCTTACTGTTGGCTGATGAGCGGCACACCCTCATGTCCAGTACATTCTTTTCAATCTTGGGATTTAGTGACAGATTTAGGTCTCTGAGATTGATTGATTTATTTATGCATTTTTTTAAATGGTTGAAATAAAATTTTGTACACATAAAATTTGTGAAATGTGAAAAGGTTTTCAGTTTAATTACTGTTCTATTACTTTTTAGTAATATTATTTATTACTAGTAAACATATTACGTTAACATTACATTTTGTTTGACTTTTATCTTAAATTCTGTTCTATTCTTGTTAAAATTTAAACAATTAAATATTATTAATTTACACTATCATTTATTATTATTATTATTATTATTATTATTATTATTATTATTACTTTCGGAAACGGTCTTCTGTACAATAGTAAATTATATTTATTACATTTTCCCAAATAAATCAAATTTTGTAAAAATTTTTTTATTGTGATGCATTGTTCTGAAGATGCTTTCGTTTCTGATTTATTCACGCAAAGTGTGCTAAATTCCATGATATATTTAGACATTCTTTTATGTTTGTATTCTGCCATTTTTCAGAAATCATACATACCTAAAGATTGTTTGGTTATTTTATGTTTTTGGTTAGTAAAAGACATTTATAATGTTACAAAATATTCTGAAACTTTTGATCTTTCTAACAAACAAAGAATTCTGAAAAAAGTGTCATAGTTTCCACAAAAAATATTAAACAACTGTTTTGATAATAATGATGATGTAATAATAAGAGGAAAAAATAAATGTTTCTTGAATACCAAATCAATAAATTTTAGATAAAAAAAATTAAATAAAATCAACGCAATTTTAGTGAGAATAAGATACTTCTTAAAAAAAAAGGATGCAAACATTAAAGGTATAGTTCACCGCAAAATTAAAATTGTCCACATTTACTTACCATTATGCATTTTTTATTTGATATTTTGGTAACGTTAGAATAACTATGAATCATTTATTTAGCATTGGCATATAGTAAATTAATTATTTGTTAAACATTAACTCTACATGTTTAGATGTTAGTAAGCAGTTTACAAATGCTCTTATCTTGACTTATAAGCAGTTAAGCACATTTAAAATGTGCCTAATAATTGAATTTTCATAATTTGTGACTTGTCGATTTTTTTTTCTTTTTTCTTTTGCTTACTAAATTCAGTATTGCATTATTTACAAACACATTTGTACTTAAGAGTAGTGAGTGGTTTTTAAGATAATTCTGAAGGAGTTAGCTAATGATTATTAAACTATTGAAATAATTGTTTATATATATCTAATTATTCAGGCATATAGTAATGGTTACTCTGTGTAGTAATAAATGCTTTATTAACATGGCTTCAAGCAGTTTTGTGACCAAATCTAAAGTAAGGACTATTCATGCTTTGTAAATCCTTTAGAAATGATAGTTGAAGGCTCAGTATCAAATGAAAAATAATCTTTGCCATCTTATGTGAAATATAAAAATTACTGTAATGTCTAAACATTGCTGAATAACAGGGGTGTCAAAATATAACAAAATTAGATAAAAAAACAACAACAAACGTAATAATTTAACAGTATAATAAGATGCAACATTTCAATGTTTTTAGCGATATTTAAACTGTACAGTAATTTTATTTTAGTTAAGATTGCAAAGATTTGTTTTTATTTGATCGTTTCATTTGTGTATCTTCAAATGAATAGAAAAGAACAAAGTTGTTTTCTTTTTTTCCTGTTTAGAATTTAACTGACATTTTAATTGTCATTTATTAGCGATTTATAAAGCAGACATAGTCCTCACTTTAGATTAATAAAGCATTTATTAACATACAAATTAACTATTAATATATGCCTGAATAATACAGATTATAAATGTTAATTTAAATAGTTTATCAATCACTTACTCATTCTGAGTGATCTTAAAAAACCACCAACTATGATTAAATAACTAGTTCGTAAATAATGCAATACTTCAATTAGTAATAAAAAATGAATCATGTGCTCATAAGTCAAGAATGGAGCGTTTGTAGCTGCATTTATAAACTGCTTAATAACATTTATTAATGTAAAGTTAATGCTTAACAGATAATGAATTCACTATATGCTATTGCTTAACAAAGGGTTAATAGTGTGTATTTATTATAATGTGTTGCCGATATTTTTACATTACTGAGTCAAACCAGTCAATACATTGCATTAATGAAATTTCACTGTGGCTGGAGCTAACGGACAATGGAAATAGAAACTGAGCAAGTAACAAAGCATTTATCATCACAGCACTGTTGACAACAGCTCAGCTTAAAATGGAAGAGTAGTGATTCATGTCGTGCTGGTTGGATCGGACGTGATGTTCTCTTCGCTCATTAACAAAACAGTGTTATGTGTATGCTCTTTTCATCAGGGTTTTGGTTGGTCCTGACACTTATCGTCATTCTGGGCTGCTGCTGTGTTTGTCATCACCGTAGAGCCAAACACAGACTGCAACAACAGCAGCGGCAGCACGAGATCAACCTCATCGCCTACAGAGAAGCCCATAACTACTCCTCTCTGCCCTTCTACTTCAGTCAGTACCTGCTTCCCTCATTCTTAATACAATCTCAAAACAATAAAAGAATTTAATTTTGGCCATTGAGATTGAATCATGTAAATAGAAATGTAGAGGTAAAGAAATAGAGTGATTGTGAGTATAGTTATGTGTAATGTAATTGGGTGTCTTCTATAATAAACATCAGTATACGTACACTTACCGGCCACTTTATTAGGTACACCTTACTAGTACTGGGTTGGACCCTCTTTTGTCTTCAGAACTGCCTTAACCCTTCGTGGCATAGATTCAACAAGGTACTGAAAATATTCATCAGAGATGGGACATGATGGCATCAAGCAGTTGCTGCAGTTTTGTCCGTTGCATATCCGTGATGCGAATCTCTTCCGTTCCACCACATCCCAAAGGTGCTCTATTGGGTTGAGATCTGGTGACTGTGAAGGCCATTTGAGTACAGTGAACTCATTGTCATGTTCAAGAAAACAGTCTGAGATGATTCACGCTTTATAACATGGCCTACAGATATGCCGTTCACTGGATATTTTTCTCTTTTTCAGACCATTCTCTGCAAACCCTAGAGATGGTTGTGGGTGAAAATCCCAGTAGATCAGCAGTTTCTGAAATACTCAGACCAGCCCGTCCGGCAACAACAATCATGCCATGTTCAAAGTCACCTAAATCATTTCTTGTCCATTCTGATGCATGGTTTGAACTGCAGCAGATAGTCTTGACCATGTCTACATGCTTAAATACATCGAGTTGCTGTCATGTGATTAGCTGATTAGAAATTTGACTTAACGATCGATTGGACGGGTGTACCTAATAAATTGGCCGCTGACTGTATAGTAGAATATTATAACCAAGCTAGATTAGGTGTTGATTTACATAATATTCCTGTTTTTCTGTTGGTAGTATTGTGTTGAGCACTCAAATTTGCAATACAGTTGATAGAATGCTGTGACTGGAAGCTAGCACACCTAGGTCTTTCTTATTGGTGTTTGATTGGATGTGTGTGAGGTCATTGCATAAGGTAATCTGTGTTTTTTTAATGTACTTGCTCAGGATAGTTGATAAGGTATTGTAGGTGGCTGGTAGGTTTTTATGGTATGGTTTAAGGTAGGTAGTTATTAGTGTGTTTTGGCTTGTTGAGTCAAGGGTCTATATCAGTGGTCACCACACTTGTTCCTGGAGGGCTGGTGTTCTGCCGATTTTAGCTCCAACCCTAATCAAACAAGCTTGGTTAGCTCCAAGCTAACCAAGGTCTTACTTGGTATACTTGAAATATCCAGGCAGGTGTGTTGAGGCAAGTTGGAGTTGAACCCTGCAGGGACACCGGTTCTCCAGGACCGAGATTGGTGACCCCTGTTCTATATCATAGTTTTAATAGTGTGGTCTATATTATAGTCTTAATAGGATGGCTTAATATGATTTCATTCTTAAAAAATGATTGTAAGCAAGATGTAAACTAAAATTTAGTGTATAATGACATCCTCTTATTAACTTTTTAATGAATGACATCTAAATGTTTCTGTAGAAATCAACGCCTATCAGAGCAAACTCCCGAGAAATTTCGATGTGAATTGTAGTCTCCAGTAGTTATTTGAGTTGCCCTTCTGTCAGCTGAACCAAGTCCACTGTCATCCATATGCAGGGTTCATACGGTCCTGGAAAAGTCATGAAATTTTATAAAAACATTTTTCAGGCTTGGAAAGGTTTAAAAAAAAAACACACAAATAAACCTAAAATGTTTTGGAAAAGTCATAAAAATTTGTTTAACAAATATCTGTGTACTTAAATATATTTTAGATGAACTTTACTTATACTTGACAATATATTTGAGGGGTAAACCTAAAAAAGAATGGGTGAAAAAAAGCAATAACTTCATTCAATTATTTTCTTTTCGGCTCAGTCCCTTTATTAATCTGGGGTTGCCACAGTGGAATGAACTTCCAACTTATCCAGCATATGTTTCACACAGCAGATGCCCTTCCAGCTGCAACCCATCTCTGGGAAATATCTATACACACTCATTCACTAAGTGAATGAATTCACCTGTATTGCATGTCTTTGGACTGTGGGGGGGAAACCGGAGCACCCGGAGAAAACCTACGTGAACATGGGAAGAACATGCAAACTTCACACAGAAATGCCAACTGACCCAGCCAAGGCTTGAACCAACGACCTTTTTGCTGTGAGGCGACAGCACTATGTACTGCACCACCGCGTCGCCAAAAGCAATAACTTAAAAAACCAAGACAATTTTAGCTTCGCCTCTCTTTTAGTCACTTTCACTGCAATTGGAGATGCATTTTTGAGTATCCAGAAACAATATATAACTACAGAGGTAAGATACTGTGGGTGCTAAAGGCTAATTTGTACCAATCTTAAGCCAGCGTTCTAAGTTTTTCACGCAGACAGCAAGATGCTTTCTAAAAACTATTTTACAGATATAAATATATATTACATGGATTGTCACATATCTATTGATATGTTGTAATAAATGTGAATGTGTATTTTTTCTTATTTACTACGGGTACGTAGACATTACATGAAGCACGAAACAAGATCATGAACATTTTCCTTAAAGTTTTGGAAAAGTCATTGAAAAGTCATGGAATTTTAGTAGTAAAAATGTGTATGAACCCTGAATAAGGCATTTTCTCCCACAGATAGTAGGTTCTTTTCTCTTTATACTGGCTGATCTGATTTTGCTATTAACATGCAGTTGAACAGCTTAGAACACAGGTGTCAAACTCAGTTCCTGGAGGGCCGCAGCTCTTCACAGTTTAGCTTTAACCCTAATTAAACACAGCTGATCAGACTAGTTGAATCCTTCAGGTTTGTTTTAAACCTCCAGGTAAGTGTATTGAAGAATTGTTGAAACTAAACTGAGCAGGGAAGCAGCCCTCCAGGAACTAAAAATAATAATAATAATAATAATTCCTTACAGGTTATACAGCGCTTTTCTAGGCATTCAAAACACTTTACACATAGGGGGGAAATCTCCTCATCCACCACCAGTGTTAAATCGAGTTTGAAACCCCTGCATTAGAAGTAACATGCCCTCAAACCAATATTAATAGATGCCATAAAATTGTTAGTTCACCCAAAAAATTAAAATTATTTTAATAATTACTCTTTTGTTCCAAACCCCGGGGAGCTTTGTTTTCATCTTTGGAAAACAAATGAAGATATTTTAGTTGAAATCTAAGAGCTCTCTGACACCAAGTTTGCCGACTCAAAAGTCTAGAAAGGTACCAAAAACATCCTCAAAACAGAACATCTACAATGATTAAATCGAAATATCAACAGGCAAGGAGAATACTTTGTATGCACATAAAACAAAAATAACATTATTCCACAGTTTCTTCTCCTCAGTGTCAGTATATAACACACGTCATGTAAAACTAACTTAACTCTTCTCTTCTTCAGGGTTTCTACCTGGCTACCTCTTACCAGCCTATGAGGAAGTAGAGAACAGACCTCCAACACCCCCTCCTCCATACAGTGCCTCTCAGCCGGGCCACTCCACCAGCTCTGACCCCTTGTGCTCCGAACAACCGGACGAGCTCTGCCCTCCACTGCAGTCCAGCCCCGTCACCCCGTCTGCATCCGAAAACCACTCTCCAGAGCCCTGCACAGAGCAGCCACAGACTCCCACCACACACCACCCTGCCAAACCACAGTACCTCAGCCTAGAGGAGGACGGGCGACTCCAGCAGGTGGCATGCGCGACCTCACACAGCCTGCTCAAACAGGACAGCTCGGGCGAAGACCTGAGCCAACCTGGAGACTGTTCTCCTGACAGCAAAGATAAGACTCCCGGTCGGCACCGGCGCTTCACTGGTGATTCCGGCATCGAGGTGTGTGTGTGCAACCAGGGGCCTGGGGATGGGGAGGAAGAAGAGGAGATGAAAGAGCTTGTAGGGCATATGGATGCAAGGGGGCTGGAGGAGCAGGACTTCTGTGATAGTTGCAACCCTCGCAGCAGCAGCCCTCCTCGGGGCCCAGGGGACGTGGAGCAGGGTTTGGCTGATTCAGATGTGCCTCTGGAGCCTCAACGACCCCCGGTCTGCCTCCAACTGCACACCATCAGCGAACAGGATGGCCCGAATCACACCAGCAACACAGACCCCCCGAGTTGAGCACAACTGCTTCCAGCAGAGACTTCCCATAGACTGCTGTCTCCCTTTACTTTCTCCAGATACATCAGTTTGTACTGTCAGCAATGTCACTTTGGGTGTACTTTTCATGTGTGTGTTTGTGTGAGTGAGTGAAAGAGATTTAAAAGGGTGTTAACGCGTGAGTGCTAACGGTTTTATGGATTAATAGGGTAATCTAGTAAAGACTTTAATAGGTCTGTTGCCTCGCAGAGAGGTCGCGATCAAAGCCACAGGGGAAATTCTCCTCCGTTTATAGCCTTATCCAGCTCCAGGTGACATGCCTGTAGATTTGGAAGATTTATGTTGGTTTTTGGGAAGCGGATTGACTCCTGCTTCGGATGAAGATGGCACTCAAGGTCGGTGGACATTTTACTGGCTTTTCACTCCTTTACTTTCAATACTTAAAGGGAAGTTCTCAGAGAAATGAAAGTTCTGGCGATTCCTCACCCTCACGTTATTTTGAATGCATGAAGGCCTATTTATTCCTACATATTCAAATTATGCTTAACTGTGGATGGACGGGTCAGCACATGCGTTTATCTGTCTTAACATCAACCTTACGTGTGCACTGCTGTCTACGCTTGAACAGTCTGCTCCAATGTCTACTGATCCTTAAAAGGACATCGTGTGGAGTGTCTACCAAAGTATACTTGGGTCTTAAGACTTTATTTTTTAAATCTTAAATTATTTAGTTTAGTTTAAAAAAAAAAAGAAATCAGTTGAAAGTTCATTTCACCTAAACAATCTTCAAAAAATAACAAGTTAGTAAAGAGAATAGCTGTGTCTCATTTCAGAGGCTGCATCCTCTGAAGGATACAGACTTTAAAGATGAATCTGTTGAAGTCCACACAGGCTGAACCGAGCTTTTTGAAATGATACGATCTTGCACACAGAGGACACATCTCACCACCTAGCAACCGTAACAGCTGCCGTTTATAAGCAGTAATAACATTAAGTGATTTTAAGAGATCTGAAGGCAAAGTGAAGTTTATAGAAGCTGGTAATGCATTTCCTTTCCATACATGTACACACACAAGTGTAAGCTGTCTATAAAGTCTCTCTTTAGTAAGACATGTCATAGTCTTATTGTTTTTTAACATGCGTTTAGATATCCAAGTAAAATAATCCTAATTCATTCATTTAATCCAGATTTTTCTTTTTTAAAACATCCTGCCGTTGTCAGCACGCAACCAATCTTGAGACGTTAGAGGCCGCAAAGGATCCTTCGGTTGTGTCCTACATTACCTGGGAAACGAAGGACGCACTTTGAGGCTGCATTTGAAGGAGCTTTTGAATCTTTTAAAAATGACACTGTCTTCGTTGCACCTCTGACACAGAGCCCTTCAAATGCATCCTTTGGAGGATACAGCCTCTGAAATGAGACACGGCTAATGAATAAAAATGTTAACTGACTCCACAATGTAAAAAATGCTGGGTTCCATACACATCCTTCATGTTGTCCCAACACAAATCGATTAAGTTAATTGTTTTTATAAATTTAAGTGGGTTGAACATAAAACAATTAAGTTGTCTAAAAAAAAACGTTGTTTAAACAAACTGAAAAAATAATTTTTTTGACTGCATACACATATAGATGGTGGACATCAGACAGGGTAAAGAAGCTGAAACATGATTGTCAACTACTAAGAACCAATGAGAGCAGGTTGCTCAATGTTTATATCTGAATTAAAGCCTACATTTGAAAGACTTGGTTTAAACTGCTTAATATGAATTTCATTAATATATTTATTATTTTTATTTGATAGAATATCAAAAAGATAGAAAACTCAATAGGAGTTTGAGTTAAAATGCAAAAAAAAAAAAAAAAAAAAGACAAAGTCATGCCTTTAGAACAAGGTGAGGGTGAGAAACAGAAATTTAATTTTTAGGTGAGCTGTTCCATCATGATTATATTGTGCACAAAAAAGGGAAAGGCAGCCAAGAGCAGTCTGCTTACACTTCAGAGCTTTAATATTCTTTCTTGTCTTTATTGTTGTTTTTGTTTTCCTGATAATCTTGATCTGGAATATTGCTTAATGCTGTTCAGAAAAAAAAATGAAGGAAAATAATTACCTAAATACTTCTTTATGTTTCAGTATCAACAAGCGTGAACGTGCTTCCTGCCCAGCAGGGTTAGGTTGCCATTTTGTTTCATCTTTTACAACGCGGTCTCAAGCTTTATCCTATATTTTGCATGATTATTTGCATAAACTGAATAACATCCTCATATATTATACAAAGACTATTCAAATGAAGGCTGAAAACAAATGACTTTGTATATAGATCAAACCCAGCTCGTATACTACATCTTACAATAGGTGCCTTTGTTGATTTAGCTAGTTGTCATATGCCTTAAAGTGAATTGTGTGCGCGTGTGTGTATGTGTGTATTTACTAATAAAGGGCCAGTATGAGTGAATATTTTAGTCAAAAATAAATAGGATCACTTGATAAGCCTTCCATTGAAACATATCATGATTGTTTTTTGCCTTAATTTAATTTTGGTATTCTCCCATATTGCTTATAAAGGGTTTTTATTTTGTATCTTAACACTGTAAGGGAACTCTAGCACCACTAACAGTAACTTATGTATAGGCCTTATTACATAGAATAAGCGTTTAATGTGTACAAATGTATTGTAGCAGTTCAGGTAAGGTTATTGTCATGTTAGTGTAGCACTTACATAGAGTTTATGATGAGATTTTGTTTTGGGTTTTTTTTCTGTGGCGGTGAGACTGTCCAAAGCTGCTCCACTGCATTCCCTACACTGTTTGTGTGTGTGTGTGTGTGTGTGTGTGAGAGAGAGATGGTAGGTTCCTTTAAGTGGATCATTCTTCAGGCCACTGTGTTTGCTTGACCTTTGGTTTGGATTAGCAGATAGGTGTCCTTTAATAGGGTCTTAGCTTGGGCACAGATGGCTTTTGGGCCGTGTTGATCTCCAGATCAGCTTGTTCCTGTGTAAATAGAGCCTAATTTGCGTTAAGACGTGATGTGGCTGGAAAAACAGGTTTTTGGGAGGCAGATTCCAACACTGATGTGGTGCCTTCGTCAAACCTTTATGTAGCAGTATTGTTTGGCTATTAAAACGCAGCATGGCGAGCAACATTTATTGATGTATTTAAGAGAAATGGAGTGAAAGCTGTGGAGATCCGGTCATCTGTGCTCATGGTGCTCTTTCTGTAAATGTTGTCTCCATTGTTTTCTCTCATCGAGACCAAAGGCATTGATTTAAAGTGGAAATCTGGGTCATTGTGTTAGTTTGCTCACTGTGAATGAGATGTTCATTCGTTTTGCCTGAAAAAAGTTGTCATTGCACTGTTTTGACACTGAGCAGTGAGTGTGTGTTGGAAGGTGACGAAGGCTTTGCAAGCCAATTGCTTTTGTTTTCCTCAAGCTTTGATTCAAGCCTGGTACTACGTTTTAGTTTTGTATCCGTAGTCACTTTCTTTTTATATATAAAACTGTATTTTCTGCATTTTATAAGAAGACTCAACCAAATTAATGATTGTCAGAGAATGTTCCATATGAATAATAATAAAAAAAGATTTTGAAGCCAGTAAGTTTTCGTGAGATGATTGAGCTGCATATTAAAATGACTAAACATTCATCATTTATTTTTCCCATTGGTAGGAAATTACTTGTAGTTTGTTTTTGTTTTTCTGGAATTTTGTGTCATTGCTTGTCTGACATCATGAAACTCCTTCAGGTGAACATCTTTAGAATACAGCTAGAATAACACAAAACATTAAGAAATGAGTTCAGATGCAAAAACCTCTAAATGCCATCTAAAGGTTTCTTTTAAAATGAGCTCTTTTGTCAGGCTCTTGTTTGTAATTTCAGTAATTATTTATCAACATAAATGAAATTACTTAGAGTACTTTCATTGCCTGTAATGTAAAATAACAACACAAACATTGGAGATTGAGAAAAATGCTCGTTTTTGAAGGAAATTTCAGATGGCATTTGGAGTTTTTTTTGCATCTGAACTTCAAATATTTTATATACATACACTTTCTGGAAGTACAACAGTGTAACTCTTTCCTTTTTAACTAAAAATAGGCACTAGTACCTAATAAATGACTACTAATGTATACAAATATTAGAAGTTGTCACAATTGGAACTAGTCAATTATATTTCAATAACACTTTAAAATTGTAACTACATACAATAAAACTGTTACGCATGACTACTGATTTAAGTACTAGTAATAATGAATTAGTACTATAGTGTCTTTAATTGCTAATATTATCTAAGTGCTTAGAATTAATTAATTAATACTAGTATTGGAGGAAGAGGCATTGGCTAATAAATAAGAACTTGCATTTACTGGAAAATATACTAGGAGGAAGAAAATCATAAGGCTATACATTTATTTTGTTAAAGCATTTAAGGCATGAACCACACTGACGAGTTAAGTAGCGAATCACGTCACATTTATTAATTTCGTCCAAACAACTTCCCGTTAGAAATATGATTATAAACACTTGCAACACATAGACATTGTTTTAGAACAGTGCAACCAGTTGAAAACCAAGACCAACATAAAAAGATTGAGCACTTGACTTTAAAAAAAAAAAAAAAAAAAAAAAAAAAGATGCTTTGGGAAAAAAAGCTGGAAACCTGTTTTTCCTACAATTAAGTCAATGGTTACAGGTTTTCAGCATTCTTCAAATTATCTTCTTTTGTGTTTAACAGAAGAAAAAAAAACACTTCAAGGAGAGTAAATAGTGAGTAAATTTTACATTTTGGGTAAACTATCTGGGTAACCTTTTATTAGGTGAAGAATCATATATGGTAACTTCACTGACAATGATTTCAATATCACTCACTATTCTATTTCTCATAAAAAATCTAAAAAGTTCTTGTAAGTCACATCCCCAAATAACAATCCAGGTTTGTTTTTCAATGAGTGCTGTATAAAGAGTTAAATTTGTCTATTTTAAACACTGTTACAATAATATGGCCTGGTGGCTTCAACAAAAACACATGCCATCAATAACACCCTTGTTGCTCTTTAACAGTCAATAAACCATCATTAATAATCAGCTTATATGAATAAATGTGTTCCCTCCATATTCTGACTGTTCAAAATCCTTCTTTGAATTTATGTTTGATGTGTGCTATTTGACTGAGCGCCGTCTGAAATGATCTTCTAAAAGAGAATATTTCCTCAGCATTATGTTTATTTCACTCTAAATTTGATAAAAAGAACCAACGTTCTGCCATAAAAGTGAAAATACACAATCTACACAGAGGAAGCTGAGAAAAAGATTCTCATTAGATTAAGATTTCAGCATCTGACATTAAGCTCAGCAGTGCTGCATGAGTGGGGATTTCTCCCAGTCTGCTCTTACTTTAGCAACAACCTTGAATTTCTTGGGTTGAAGAACCACGCCAAACTTGCCCTGGAGGTCAGGCAGAGGCTGGCCAGTGGGCATCTCCAGAGTAAACCTTTGCAAAATCCACGCCAGGAAGAGAAAGAGCTCCATCTTTGCCAGGGCCTCGCCGAGACAAACACGCACCCCTGCGCCGAATGGCAGATAACTGCCCGACGGGCAGCACAAACCATCACCCTCCTCATTCAGAAAGCGTCCTGTCAGATTAGAGGATTCACTGTTACTGATAATGTTCAAAGCGAGAGACAGCGAGAGACAACCGGCTTTCATCATAGCAGATCCTCACCTGGGTCAAAGAGCTCAGGGTTCTTCCATTCCTTCTCATCATGATGTAAAGACCAGAGGTTAATAACGACCCGCGTCCCTTTCTGCACTGTGTATTCACCAACACTGTACAAATAAGAGTGAACCATTTCAATATTAGCATGAGTCTAAGACGATAAGGGTTTTCACTCTATTTAATATATATATATATATATATATATATATATATATATATATATATATATATATATATATTTTAAGAGGATTGACAGAAATGTAAGAAGTGTAACAGAAGTTTATATGAGGCTCAGACATGAACATGGGCTTTTATTATATAAAAGAAGCCACTAAAATGAATAAAAATGCATATCAATTCATCATTATATCTGTGAATATATAAATTCTACAAATTCTCTTATATATGTGCTCATTGCTTCATATTTAGCATATTTGTTCTCTTTGCAGCACTGAAAAATAGAACCATAGAAAGTCAGAAGGGTTTAGATTAGTTATGTTGAGTGCAAGGCAGCACAACGTCGCAGTGGGTAGCATGATCGCCTCAGAGCAAGAAGGTCGCTGCTTTGAGCCTGGGTCGGTTGGCAGTTCTGTGTGTGGTTTGCATGTTCTCCTCGTGTTTGCATGGGTTTCCTCCACAAGACCAAACATGCGCTATAGGTGAATTGAATAAAGAAATTGGCTGTAGGTTATGTGCAAGTGAGTTTGTATGGATGTTTCCCAGAACTGGGTTGCAGCTGAAAGGGACTATGTAAAACATATGCTAGATAAGTTTAGCTTAATTGGCCTTAGTGTATTTGTGTGAATGTAAGAGCGCATGGGTGTTTCCAGGTGTTGGGTTGCAGCTGGAAGGGCATCCGCTGCATAAAACATATGCCGCATATATTGGCGGTTCATTCCGCTGTGGCAACCCCTGATTAAAGGGACTAAGCCCAAAATGAATGAATGAATGTTGAGATAATAAACTAATTACTATAAATTACGATGTTATCTTTTCATGAGGGTACATCCACTCACTGATTGAATTATGTAACATTCTCTCCTGAATTCTGTTATTGAAAACAAGTAGCAACGAAATCATATAATAGATTTGAAAAATGTTGTGATAAACAGATTTACAAATGCCATTTGTTGAAAACATTTTGTTTGGTTGTTTTTATGCATTCTAAAAACATTGTGCGCATTAAATTTTCCATTAGAATTTTTGATGAATATGATGTTGACAAGTTAGAATGGTGTTGAAAAATATAGACACAGTTCAAAGCAAAATTATTACAATGCAAATTTAATACCTGTGAATTTTTCATTTTTCTTTTTCATATTTTTCCCCAGGTAAAATTTTCACAGTATTTCCCATAGGCTACTATTTTTCCTTCTGAAGAAAATCTTATTTATTTTAATTTTAATAATAAAATTTTATTAGCCCCCTTCTGTCACCATGGCAAAGACAAAAGTTAAAAGACAAGTGAGTTATAAGAAACTAGCATATATATGACAAATGCGTTTAGATTTTCCATTCATTTAATAATATTTATCCATATTGAATCCTCTAAAGGGAAAAACACCTGGCAGGGTTTCTTCATGTTTTACCAAGTTAAATTAAAAAATTTAAGACATTTTTAAGACCATGATGAATGTAAGTTTAGACTTAGACAGGTCTAAATGCTAAGGATTTTTTCGAACGTCCCAGTTAGAAAAGATTTTCACTTCCCCCGTCAAAAAATTATTACAATTTAATACAATTATAATTTTTTTTTACAATAATTTTTTTCAAATATACTCATTCACAAACCCCATAACTCTTACCAAAAATAGAACAAAACAATAATATAATAATACAATTAAGAAAATAAATTAACAGGAAAATTAAGAACTGTCAAAAATTATGTAAGACCCAAAACACAACATTTCAGTAGATTTAAGACCTTTTAAGGCCTAAAATCTAGCTTTTGAGATTCACCGCGGATACCCTGACCTGGAGTCCTGCAGCGCCACATGAGGGATGAGGAGCGGAGAAACAGGTCGAATCCTCAGCACTTCTCTGATAGTGGCCTCTAGATAAGGTAGATTCCCCCTGTCGCTGAGCTGAGGGTGTCTTTCTTTCCCAATCTTACTGTCGAGCTCCTCTTGAATCTTTCTCTGAACCTAAAGTCAAATTCAAAGAACGTTTTAGATGTTTAACTGAAAATCAATAGTAACCTGTTTGGATCAGCACACCCAGTCGAGAGGGCGGTTTCATTTCGGCCTACCTGTGGATTGTGGACGAGGTAAGCTATAGACCATTTGAGTACAGTAGTAGTGGTTTCCACCCCAGCCCCAAAAATGTCCCCCACCGTCATGAGCACATGATCTTCAGTTAAACCGACATCACGAGTGCTGCTGTTATTGTTTTCTGAGCTGCGTTTCGCCCTCAGAAGAGCATCCAGGAGATCCCGCTGCACGTTATCACTGTAGGTCACCTGTAGATGGAGACAAACACCACATCATTGACCAGGTGTCCTGACATTCTTATCCTACCCATCAGATTATGTTACCAACACTGAATGGTTTTCTGATGTTGGGGTTAGGGATTAGATAGGTTAGGGCGATATACGGTTTCATACCACACTTCTCTATATTAAAATTTACACTTGTAGCAATTTTGCATTTTGTGTCATCACCGGCAGTTTCTGTAAATATGACACAAGCGATGAAAATGGTAGTTTATAAAGTTATGCATACTTATGAGCATTAATATCGTCGAGGTGTAACATTAACATCATTTAAAATTTCATTCTTAAAAATAAAAGCTCCTTCTTGGCTTTTTTTGGTTCCACGCAGATCTTTAAAGGGACAGTTCACCCAAATGTTGTTATTTACTCATACTGGTTTCAAAACTTTATGGGTTTCCTCCCATTGTTGAACATGTTTTTGAGCTGAAAATATTCTGAAAGCCTATAAAAATTGACTTTCATAATATTTGTTTTTCTTGCTATGGAAGTCAATGAGGTTTTTTATATTTTTTAGCTTTCATTTCTAGCTTTTTTTTTTTTCAACAGAAGAAGGGAACAAACTTAAGGTTTGGAACAGTGTTGGGGGTATGAATTACAAGTAACGCGAGTTACTTAATATTATTACAAAATAAAGAGTAAAGTAACGCATTACAAAAAGTTATAATATTAGAGTTACTTCATAAAAGTTGTAATGAGTTACTTTTTAGTTTAGTTCATCTACTTTTACAAAAATAATTTACAGAATTAAAAATAACGTCGTCACGTTAAATCCCCCACACACAATGAGAGAATGCAGGAACAGACAGAAATGAAGATGGCAGAGCATTACATTTCTGCAATGAAAATATTCTCATTATTTTAAACACATGGAAGATATGGAAAAGATGATTATCTGAATGAACAGTGACTTTACTTTTTAATCAGACAGAAAGTACAAAAGTAGCAAACACATTGCTTTAAACTTTCATTAATCTGTACGCCATGTAGCCTATAACTCTGGGGTAAGGAAGTTCTCAGAAGATAAAATTATCCTACATTCATTTTTTGATGCGTTTTTTAAAGGTAAAAGAAGGTTATATCGTGTGTTGTTAATTGTAGAGCTCCACTTTAAAAAAAAAAAAAAAACAAGACACCCCCCCCCCTGAAAGAGATCAAGCCTCAACCAGGTCAGAAAAAGTAACACAAAAGTAACTCAAAAGTAACATAACACATTACTTGCCATAAAAAGTAACTAAGTAACAGAACTAGTTACTTTTTTGGAGAGTTTAACTCAATATTGTAATGCATTACTTTTCTACCCTGACACTGGTTTGGAAAAAGTAAAAGGTGATCAAATAATGAGTAAATTTTGGGGTGAAATGTCCCTTTAATATTCTTAGAACCTCTCCATTCCACAAAAGATTCTGTACTGTTCAAATTAATCGAATGAGGAGTTCAGATGCAAAAACCTCTACGTGCCATCTGAAATTCTTCTAAAATTAGCATTTTTCTCAGGCTCCTATGTCTATGTTCAGTAATTTCACTTTTATGGCAAAGAATTGGTCATATAATAAATAATAAATAATTGGTGAAATAACCGAACATTAACATAAGGGGCTGAGAAAAATGCTCGTTGTAGAAGAAAATTCCAGATTTTCGCATCTGAACTCCTCAAATGTTCTAAAAGACTTTTGGAACTTTTCTTCTGAGAGTGCAGTAGAAAAGGATTATTTAGATTACTCAAAAAGTAGGCTATATAAAGATTATCTTTTACTTGTATTCATTTCATAGGCTACATTTTTTTGTAATATGAAATTGCACATTTACCTTGTGTTCCTCATATTTCTTCTGAAGCAGTTTATCTCTGATGGAAATGCATTGTCTTAGGATTCTGAGGTCTTTATTTGGGAAAATCTGAAAGGAAAAATTAAATTAGTGTAGTTATGGAATAGAATTAAAATATTTCTTCAATCTGGTTGCAACAAAACTATAATATTATAATATTAATAAACATAAGTAAAAAGTAGGAATAGCTGTTTTGGGCTATTTGAATTTAACTAAATATGGCCCATGTGCATATAGTTAAAAACTAAATTTAGAAATATTTCTATAAACCTTAAAACACATTAAAAATCATGGTAAAATTAAAAGTTCATTTAATTGTAAGAATATTTCACAATAATATAATTTGATTTTATTAAATATGAAAGAAATCATCAAAATCAGTGTCAACTTTTAATAACCCCAAACATTTACCTTAACACATGAACTCAAATCTCACCTGCAGCCATGGGAAAATATCCACCAAGCTGTCCTTTGCAACTGTATCCACGATTCCCTGGCTGTACTGGAGCATGGACTCAAACTCAGCATCTCCACGTTTATACGAGGAGTTAAAACACAAGGCACACACCACATTTGTGACAGCGCGTGTCAACTCCGGTCCCAGATCCACAGCACTGTTTTGGCTTTCAGTCAACACTTCACACATAGAGCTCGCCTCCCTGCAAACTTTGCAGAGAAAGAATTAGGTGTCAGCTTCTGTTTATAATGTTTTATACAGTTGAAGTCAGAATTATTAGCCCCCCTGTTTATTTTTTCCCCAATTTCTGTTTAACTGAGAGAGGATTTTTTTTCAACACATTTCTAAACATAATAGCTTCAATAACTCATTTCTAATAACTGATTTATTTTATATTTGTCATGATGACAGTAAATAATATTTGACTAGACATTTTTCAAGACACTTCTATACAGCTTAAAGGGACATTTAAAGGCTTAACTAGGTTAATTAGGTTAACTAGGCAGGTTAGGGGTAATTAGGCAAGTTATTGAATAATGATGGTTTGTTCTGAAGACAATTTAAAAATATAGCTTAAAGGGGCTAATAATTTTTACCTTAAAATGTTTTTTTATTACTAAAAACTGCTTTTATTCTAGCCGAAATAAAACAAATAAGACTTTCTCCAAAATAAAAATTATTATCAGACATACTGTGAAAATTTCCCTGCTCTGTTAAACATAATTTGGGAAACATTAAAAAAATAAAAAATAAAATAAATCAGGCAGGGCTAATAATTCTGATTTCAACTGTATGTGATCAAAACAAGTCTTATGTTGTTCGAACTTTTTTCTTCAATAACCAAAATGGACCATGAATTTAGCAACATTTAGCAAATGTTTGATCAGTAAATGTACATTGCTAACAACTTTAATTATTTTCTCAATATTTAGATTTTTTAGAACCTTTAGATTCCAGATTTTGGCATTTCAACCAAATATTGTTCCATTTTAACAAACCATACATCAATGAACTGCTTGTTTACTTTTTAAATGTTTTTTAAAAATGTATAATAATTTGGACAATTAAGACTTTTACCACTATCTGCTAGTTCAAGATTGCTTTGAAAGAAAATATAAAGCAAAGAACATTTTGGATTTGAACGAATTCATAAAATTAATTATAGATTATTTTCCCAGAGATGGGTTGCAGCTGGAAGGGTATCCACTGCTTAAAACATATGCCGGATAAGTTGGCGGTTCATTCCGCTGTGGCAACCTCGGATTAATAAAGGGACTAAGCCAATAAGAAAATGAATAAATGAATTATAGATGTTTATAGAAAAAATAATTGTAAAATACTTTCTTCTGTCTACCAAGCCCTTAGGCAGAATGGAAAAGATTCCACAAACTACATGGAGGTGGAAAGAATTTGCATGGAAAAATCTAATACGTCTTTTCATTCCCCTAAAATTAAAAGCACACAATTGTCCACACCACAAACTTGCTTGAGGATAGGTGGGAAGGTTGAGATCACCTCCAAATTTTCTGGAAATATTTCCTTTCTGGATCAAGGTTTTATTGGAAATGGAAAAGACCTTAGGATACCGTACACCAAAAGACTAGAAATTATCTTGAAATCTATGAAGAGGTGGTAGTGAAGGAGGATGTTTACCCTGTAAATATATTAAGTGTGGCAAGCAAGAGGAGAAATACCAGATACTGCTGTAAGTATGACACCCCCTCCTCTATTGGCGATTGTGAAGGAAATAAGCAATATGGTAGAATTGACATTTATTTCGAGACTTAAACAGGACTTATTTCTAAAAACATTGGAAGAAATGGAATGATTACTGCAATGTTAACAACTGTTGAATGCATTGAATCTGGAACAAAGTAACCTCCCAATGTTGTGTTTTCGTATTTACTTATTATTTTTGTATTTGTTTATCATTTCATGTGCAATTTGCAGATTTTTGAATGTAAAATGTTCTGTTGTAAAATTTAAAACTGATCAATAAAAAAATAAAGTAGCAGCTGTCAGATGATGTATATATTTCAATTTCTAAAATTTGACACTCGTGGTTTTGTGGTCCTGGGTTATATATTTAACCGCAGTGCTTTATATGTTTGTATCACAATAACCTGCAGTGACACTCACTTATCTTCTCAATAGAAACTGAACCTTCTCCAAACATGCAAAGAGCTCCATGAACCATTTTGCGGTGAAACTTCCATGTGGAACTGTAGTCAGCAAACGCTATATCTTTCCCATCTCGAGTTAACAAGTCTGTTGTAACCTAGAAGACAATCGTAGAAAGTCTCAGTAAAGAAAATACATTTTCATTGAAAATTAAAGGTAATGTTGACCCAAAAATCATGTACTCTTCCTCCCCTCATTCACTTAAAAAATAAATGTTGCTGCTTGTTTAAACTACTTATTAAAATGAGTTGAAACATCACAATTCTTAAGGGTTTATTTTGGGGGCAACTTAGCTCTTATGTTCAATCTACCTAAATTTGTAAAAACTATTGGGTTAACCTAATCGATATGTGTTGGCAAAACATGAAGGAATTGTGTGGAACTCAGCATTTTTTACATTGCTCCAAACCTGATTGACCAGTTTCTTTCATCTTTTTAACACACAAAAAATGTGACGCATGTTAGAAACTGGATTTACTATGGAGATCCTTTTTCAGCTTCTTTCAAAATATCTTCCTTTATGTTCAATAGAAGAAAGAAACTCATTAAGGTTTGGCACCAATTCAGGATAAGTAAATCTTTTATTTTTGGGTGAGTTTACACTAAGTTCATATTTAGTAAAAAAAACAAATCACATTAATGTGAAATATTCTTACAATTGAATGATATGTTTAATGGTATTTAATATACAGATTTAGGCAGTTCATTCTGCTCTGACGACCTCTGATTAATAAAGGGACTAAGCCAAAAAGAAATGAATGAATGAATGAATATGTAAATTTAGTTTAACCATATGCAGATGGGCCATATTTAAATTAACAAAATTTAAACAGCTAAAAATGGCTAATTAAACTGAATGTGATTGTATGTACTTACAGTCCGTGGCCTCCCTGCAAATATTTTTCCTTTTTTGATCAGGATCTCCTTCGCATGATGGTGGTTGTTCACAATGAGCAGTTTGTGGGAGCCCATCATGAGGGAATACAGATCTCCGTATTTCTTCTGCAGGTCCTGAAAGAAGATGTGCGGAGGACTGTCGCTCACCAGGCTCATCAGACTCCCGATGATGGGCAGTGAAGGGAGACTTGGAGGAGATCTATTTCCTGCTGGCACAAATCCATTCATCTTCTGTTTGAGATACAGAGCTGCCAGAGTCACTGCGGAGAACAGGCTTAAACAGAGCAGCCAGGGCAGGATGAGTGCTTCAGCCATTGTCAGCTATATTCAACTGAGTGTCCTCCAGCTCTTCTGAACAGCACTGCCTGTGTTAGCGAGCCGACAGGAGACTTTTATGCAGATCCTTCAATGCCACCTCCTTGACCCTGAAACAGTTCAGCTTCAACTATCTAAGTGTCAGGGAGGCTGTTTTCAACAGAGCTGTTGATCGTTTCCTCATATTCAGAGATGCTTGTGTGAGCACAATCGGCCACTTAAACTCTGCAGACCCTGTATTAGAATGATATCATCAATGTTTTGCTTTAAATCCTTGTAAAGGTCTGTGGTGGGTCTATATATGGCTAAATAAAATTTTAAAAAAATCAGCACACTGCCACAAATTAGTCTTTTGATAGCACAAAGCTATCAAAATACTAATTAAATTGCACAACATTTTACCTGCAAGGTCTTCATCAGGTCACAGAGGAAACACAAGAGAACTCAAGACTCTAAACATCACACCTGCAAACAATGATCATCCCAATCAACCAATGAGTAAGTAAATTAAAAAATACAGTCAAAAGCCAAAACCAATAGAAAATAACTATAAGAAACCATCAGAAAATCAGAATCGGTTTTAGTGTCCTGTGTGCTTACACACAAGGAATTTGTTTTGGCTACAGAAGCTTCCAGTGTACATAAAGTGACAAGTGGCAACACTAAAAATAAATGTGATAAAAGACGATCCACGTTAAACAGAGATGCAGTTAGTCAGAAAGCTCTGGATGTTCAATTGTATGTACAGATTTGTTATAAATGTACAAGTTATAAGTTGCTGTGTACAAATGCATAGAGAAAGGATTGCATTGTATATTGTTATAAGGTGCCGTGTACAAGTGCGTAGGAAAAAATAACAACAACAACAAAAAAACACTCATATATTTGTCTTTTGAGAGCTAAAGTGGCAGTGTGCTGACTTTTTACTTTTTCTATTGTGTTTGGCTTGATTGAGCACCTGCCTTTAAGATTTTCCTAGATGTGCACACACTGATTGTTTTTTAATAGATGGTACCATTTGAAAGTGTAGGATCCCTGTTTTCTACGGATAGAAACCAGTCTTTTATTTGATATTAAGCAAGTGTTTAAGTGTTAGATTTTGAAACCAAAGGCTCTGCTTAAATCTTTAAACTTAAATGTGTATGTCACATAACCTGCTTGAATACTCCCTCAGGCCTCAAGTCTATTATTATTGAGCTTACAGGAATTAACAAGAAACTGAGGTTAAAACTTTATTCATTCATTTTGTTTTTGGCTTATTCCCTTTATTAATCCAAGGTCGCCAGAGTGGAAACCAACTTATCCAGCTTATTTATGCAGCGGATGCCCTTCCAGCTGCAACCCATCACTGGGAAACACCAATTCACTCTCCTTCACACATGGGCGAACCAGAGCACCCGAAGGAAACCCATGACAACACGGGGAGAACATGCAAACTCCACACAGAAAGCCAACTGACCCAGGCTTGAACCAGCGACCTTCTTGCTGAGGCAGCGCTAAAACATAATTGTAACAAGTTTCTCATTAGTTATATTACATTTTACTTTTACAAACTTCTAGTTAAATTTTACTGCAATTGTTCATATTCAATAGGATTTACAACACAAATGGCAGTTAAATGTGTCAGATACATAAAAATATCGTCACTCGAGTTCGCTTTTAAATTGTCCCTTGCCTGCTGCCATAGTAAACAGTAATGGCTTCCTCCGAAACGCAGCCCCGCTTCGGTCAATCTGTCAAAGGTTTATTGTCTGATAAAGTAACTTCTTGCAGTGGAGATGTGATCGCTTTAACTCGTCAAGTGTTAAAAGGATCCCGGAGCCAAGAAGTAAATATACGACACATTATCTGAAGTGATATTGTTTGGTTAAGGCGAGATGTTCGCCTGGCTGATGTTAACTGTTTCTTTCTCATAGCAATTAGCTTAATAGTCGAGACGAGCTTCATAACTTAATAAGAGGCTTAGACTTTTTTGAAAAAGCATAGACTTTAACTTAGATACTGGGATACTGAGCACTATATGACACTGGGCACTACGTGATGTCCAGAACAGCTGTCTCGAGGTTTTGAGACGACAAGGCGCATTAATACTGCATCAAGTGATGATTCAGTTGACAATATAAAAATAATGTTAACATTGAGCTCTTCTTCTTTATAGCTACTCAGTCAGGCAGCGAGAAATATGGTCATTCAGGAAGATGCCATTCTCCATTCCGAAGATGTAAGTGAAATAATTATATGTGTATATACAGGGGTTGGACAATAAAACTGAAACGTTTGGGTTTAGACCACAATAATTCATTAGTATGGTTTAGGACCTCCTTTTAAGCTTAGGAATGACAGATACAAGTCCTGTGCAGTGGCCAAAAGGATTTTGAGCCCTTCTCCTTTTAGAATAGTGGCCTGGCTCCACGTAATGCAGGAGGAGGAAAATGTTTCCTGACTCGCTCCACCCATACATTCCAAAGTGGCTCAATAATATTTAGTTCTAGTGACTGTGCAGGCCATGGAAAATGTTCAACTTCACTTTCATGTTCATCAAACCACTGTGTCTTCTGACTTGCTATGTGTATTGCTGCACTATTATCCTGATTCACGGCAATGTTTTTAGGATACAATGTTTGATTCAATGACGCACCCATCTAGCACAAGTTCTGGGCCAAGGGTATGCCATGGTATTGCAGCCCAAATCATCACTGATCCAGACCCATGCTTCACTCTGGGCATGCGACAGTCTGCGTGGTACACTTCTTTGGGGTTTCTCCACACTGTAACCCTCTGGGAAAGACAGCAAAGGTGGACTCATCAGAGAATAATACATGTTTTAAGCAAAACTGTGCTATTACTCTGCACATTCCTCCAGTATGAGCTGAGTGTGAAAGTTTCATTAGCATTCTATAAAAATTTGTCACCAGGCCGGTCGAATTTAGTCATAAAGCCTCCAACGTTAAATTGGCCAGTGTTTTAGTTTCATTGTCCAACTCTGGTGTGTGTGTGTGTGTGTGTGTGTGTGTGTGTGTGTGTGTGTGTGTGTGTGTGTGTGTGTGTGTGTGTGTGTGTACAGTGCGTCTAGAAAGTATTCATAGCACTTCACTTATTCCAAAATGGGTTAATTTATTTCCTCAAAATTCTACACACAAAACCCCATAATGAGAAAAAGCTGAAAAATCACGTGTACATAAGTATTCACAGCCTTTGCTCAATACTTTGTTGTTGCACTTTTGGCAGCAATTACAGCCTCAAGTCTTTTTGAAAATGATGCCACAAGCTTGGCACACCTGTCTTTGGGAATTTTTGACCATTCCTCTTTGCAGTACCTCTCAAGCTCTATCAGGTTGAATGGGAAGTGAGGGTGTACAGCCATTTTAACATCTCTCCAGAGATGTTCAATAGGATTTAGGTCTGGACTCTGGCTGGGCCACTCAAGGACATTCATCAAGATGTTGTGAAGCCACTCCATTGATATTTTGGCGATGTCCTTTGCGTCATCGTCTTGCTGGAAGATGAACCATCGCCCCAGTCTGAGGTCAAGAGCACACTGAAGCAGGTTTTCATTCAGGATGTCTCTGTCCATTGCTGCATTCATCTTTCCCTCTATCCTGACTAGTCTTCCAGTTTCTGCTGCTGAAAAACATCCCCACAGCATGATGCTGCCACCACCATGCCTCACTGTAGGGATAGTATTAGCCTGGTGATGAGCGGTGCCTGCTTTTCTCCAAACTTAACGCCTGGCATTCACTCCAAAGAGTTCAATTTTAGTCTCATCAGACCAGAGAATTCTGTTTCTTATGGGCTGAGAGTCCTTCAGATGCCATTTGGTAAATTCCAGGCAGGGAGTGGCTTCTTCTCTACCATAAAGTCCTGATTGATGGATTGCTGCACAGATGGTTGTCCTTCTGTAAGGTTCTATTTCCACAGAAGAACGCTGGAGCTCAGACAGAGTGACCATCAGGTTATTGATCACCTCCCTGACTAAGGCCCTTCTCCCCCGATCACTCAGCTTAGATTTTGAGGAAATAAATGAATTTAATCCATTTTGGAATAAAGTTGTAACATAAAAAAATGTGGACGTATCAGTTGCACTGTATATCAGTATTATTATTAATATAATTATATATTTAAAATGAATATATGTAGGCAACTAGTCGTAGTATGTTAAACTTCTCTAAATATTTTTATGCTTATAGAGTCTACGGAAAATGTCTATTATAACGACCCACTTGCAGTACCAGTGAGTATGCACCCCAAATATTATTTCAATTATTTGTACATATATTTTTAATCATTGGTATTTTGATTAAAATATATATTTAATCCAAAAGGGAAAACAAGTTTATTTTTTCCTTTTTTATTTTTCTTACCTTATTTCTCTTGTATTGGTCATAAATTGATTTTATGTAATTCTAATTTTCATGTAATTGTATTGTAATTTATGAACGTTTAAATGTTTTGTATTGGAAATCAAGACAAATTACTGAAGAAGAAGATATGTTTTTGGTGTGGAGATAATGTACTTGTTTATATTAACATCGTTTAAGGTTCTGGTCAACGGTTTAAAGACATGTCATTAAAATATAAATTGTGAAAATGTAAGAAATTAATTCATGTATTTTATTTTTTTGTTTTGCCTCTTAAATCCAGGCAAGAGGCCATTCAGAAGAAGTAAGTCTATTATAAGTAATATTCTCAATATGTTATTAGAACAAATAAACAATTATTATTATTATTATGTGTGAGTTGATCTAGACATTCAGCCACTCTTTATCTGTCATATCTTTCACAGTGTTGAACACTCGAAAAACCTGCAGGATCAACTGAGACACTTGATGAAATAATACTGCTCTTCTAATATACAAATGTAGCCTCCTATAATTTCTCTCTCTCTTTTTTTTTTTTTACTGTAAATCAGTTGCAGGTGATTACTCATTGCACACATTGAAAGACATTCCAACATCCTCCTTTTCTCTTGAAATGCATTAGATTTTCAAATGAAGGCTTTTCTGTTGGAGATTGTTTTCAGTATTAATATTCGAAATGATAGTCAAATTAACGTCCACCACTTCTGTTTGTTTGACTTGGTACATTTGCTTTTAGACTTTTAAATCAGGTTTACAAATTAGAAATTGTTAGTCTATTTATATCTTGTTTTATATGGTGTAATTGTTTTGCCAAACATACTTGAACATATTTGTATAAAATGTTACACAGCATTGTTTCAGCACATTTTGCTAAGCAGCTTTAATAAATGGATGTGGAAAGTTGGATGAAACAGGTCTTTTTTTTAAGTCCATCAAGGGGGTGAATGATAAAGTTCATCCCACATGCAGTATCAGCAGCTTCTCTGCAAGGGCGAGCAGATGGATGTCCTAGAGTGAGGCCTTGAGCATAACTTTTCACTTCAACAAGGTTTTGACTTTTGTCTGCAAGAATTTATTATTTTTTTATATGACGCAACAGTCAAAATATAACCATGAACATATTTAGTCTGTAATCAACAAATGAAGCGTTCACTATAGCTTTACTTTCATTCATTTTTATAAATCATGTTTTTTTCAATTGTGCATTAAAATGTTATTCAAAATAATTATATTAATAATAAGAAAAATTATATAAAAGTAATAAAAATTGAGTTATCTTTTTTTAAATTATCTCTTCTTTTTGGTTAAAATATTCTTAATACGTGAATTATAACATGTGCATTATATTGATATTCAAATCATTAAAAAATAAAATAATCAAAACAAAAAGAAAGAAGTAGAACATTTTGAGGAAAATTTTGTTTGTTTTGCAAGATCAAATATCAAACATCAATTCTAGGTGCTTTCTAAGTAGTCCTGCAGTTTGCACATCTGCCCATTCACACTCGCTGGATCACGGGAGACCTTGAATTGGAAAGAATGTTCTGTCCCTTCTTTAGTTCAACTTATCAGTACTCAAGGTCTAGAATAATGTAGTCTTGCAATCTGCCAAGCTTGTGTAACAGTGGATCTTGATTCAGAAATTACTATTGAGTTTTATTATTATTACAAAAGGAGTAATGCCTTATCTAATAGCTATTTTTCGTATCTTTGTTAAACTCAAATAATTATGCAATGTCCATAGCAGTGGCTCATAAAAACAATTAGTGCTTAAAATATGCTATTTTTGGTTGTACATTATGTTTGCATTTATGCGTGTTATTCATATGCATATGTGCGGGTATAATAAAGCAAAATAGAGCATGGTTGTTATAATTTAGTTCCCTTCAAATCTGCACATCTTGCACATTTTAGATTGGCCAGTTGACTGTGTCCATTACGTACAATTGGTATTGATTTTTTAAATAGCAGGATAACGAAGTAGTCAATTTGTGTTATGGGAAAGGTTTTGGCTCCCTCTGTAGGCAAAACAGCAGCCAAACACATTAATATATGCATAGAGAGAGAGCGCGAGAGAGAGAGAGAGAAAATAAATAGTCTAGGAGCACTGTTGAGACTACAATGAAGGACGCAAAAGAAGGCAATAGTTTGCGTTTGTGGTTTTCATTATTGCATTGTTTATATACATCCATTGGGGCGCAGGGGAGTTATCAGTGGAAATATTCGAGGTGCGAAAAGCATCACACATACACAAATAAATTATAAAACGAACTAAATGAACTAAATTGAATTATAAACCGCTTAATCCTATGTAATAATTAGCTATTTATAAAATAACAAATACAAAACAATTTAAGAATGCAGATTCAACTAAATGAAAGATTATCATACATAACAAATAAACAAAACAAACGAATATGAATAAGAAATTGCTTGTAAAAATAAATATATGTATTTGGACATTAATTAATATGAAACAATCTATTGTAACCTAACATGTTCTATTTTCCTAAAAATATCATTTCAAACTACGAGGGAATCGAGAAGTGGAAAGTGAATGAAAGTGAAAGAAGGCTTCACACGTGTTTGTTTATATGACAGAGACGCACGTGCGTTTATAAGCAATTAGAAAGCGAATAGTTTCACTCTTTGTCTTACTTTTTTTCTCATTTCCCCGTGCTTAACGTACCCTACTAAATCCGTCATTCAGTCTTTTTCTGTTTTCAGGCTTAACCCCAAAAATTCAATACGTTATTGCAATGCATTGGCCAGTAGTTTCAACAGTGACATACCGTTGGCCGCCAGTGACCACTCCCACCTTTTAGGTACCGCTGTTTTTATCAGCTGATTGGATTTAGGAACGCCCACTACCGCTTTCAGGCCCGATAGCACCGCCTCTCCTCCCACACTTCGCGCGATCTTATTGGATGCACCGGGGTTGAATTTACATATGCCATCGGATTGGTGAAAACGCACGTCCGTCATGAGACATCTGTACTCGCAGCAGTTCACATAGAGCGTGCTGGTGTGTGTCATCGTGGTGCAGAGAGGCAGCGATACGCGGTGAGTAATGCCGTCCTTGTTGCTCGATGTCAGGATGGTTCTAGAGAGGATGAAGGCGGACGCGGACTTCCTCTGACCGTGGCAGCTTACATTCATTGACTAAAGTCTGCCCACTGTCAACATGGCAGAGCAATGGACCGCAGTGCCCACTTCTAATATGGCGGCGCTAAACCGGGCTGGATCATTGACTGTTATATTCCTAATTGTCAGCAGTTGTCTGATCAAAAGCATTGATGGTAAAGACCCGTCAGAAGAGACTGTCATCATTGGCCTCCGCCTCGAAGACACCGACGAGGTGTCTTTTATGGACAGAGGCTTTTTGCGCGTCAGCGAGCGATCTCGTGTCAGATTAAGGGTCTATGGGCAAAACATCAACAACGAGACGTGGTCCAAACTCGCCTTCACGGAACACCGCAGCAACGCACCTGCGGAGAGCCTGAGCCCCGGAGACGCACCTGCCTCGCATCCCTGCGGCATCCGATCCTCCGATATCATCATCCTTCCCACCATGGAGGTAAACAGAAAGACTTCTGGGATTATCGAGCTCGAGGTGAAGCCTCTGCGCAAAACGGAAAAAAGTAAAACGTATTACCTGTGCACCGCCATCGGGACACCTGGCGCGCAGGACTCCTGGTCCGAACACACCTGGGTCTATCACGAAGGGCATGACACTAAAGTGATCGTGGTGGAGGAGAAAAAGTTCCTCCTGCCGTTCTGGCTGCAGGTGATTTTTATTGCCATGTTGTTGTGCTTGTCTGGGATGTTCAGCGGGCTGAATCTGGGTCTGATGGCGCTGGATCCCATGGAGCTCCGGATTGTGCAAAACTGCGGGACCGAGAAGGAGAAGCATTACGCGAAGGCGATCGAGCCTGTCCGAAGCCAAGGAAACTACCTGCTGTGCTCGTTGCTGCTGGGAAATGTCCTGGTCAACACTACTTTGACTATACTTCTCGATGACATCGCAGGGTCAGGGCTGATCGCTGTGGTGGTGTCCACTATAGGGATAGTGATATTTGGGGAGATCGTGCCTCAGGCCATCTGCTCCAGGCACGGACTCGCTGTAGGCGCGAATACAATATTCTTGACTAAATTTTTTATGATCCTCACTTTCCCAGCATCCTATCCGGTCAGCAAACTCCTGGACCACGTGCTGGGGCAGGAGATTGGAACTGTGTACAACAGGGAGAAGCTGCTGGAGATGCTGAGGGTGACCGATCCATATAATGACCTGGTCAAAGAGGAGCTCAACATCATCCAGGGCGCTCTGGAGCTCAGGACTAAAACCGTGGAGGATGTCATGACACCTCTGCGGGACTGCTTCATGATTTCTGGTGATGCCATACTGGACTTCGCCACCATGTCTGAGATCATGGAGAGTGGCTACACTCGGATACCTGTGTATGAGGGTGAGAGATGTCACATTGTGGACCTGCTGTTTGTCAAGGACTTGGCCTTTGTGGATCCAGATGACTGCACGCCTCTGAAAACCATCACCAAGTTCTACAGCCACCCTCTGCACTTTGTCTTCAACGATACAAAGCTGGATGCCATGCTGGAGGAGTTTAAAAAAGGTAAAGATGTGTACAACTGCACTGGCATTTTAAAGCTACACCTTTATTATTCAGGGGTCGCCACAGTGGATGAACCACTAACTTATCTTGCAAATATTTTAAGCAGCGGATGCCCTTCCAGCTGCAACCCATCACTGGGAAACACACATACAGTCTCATTCACACACATACACAATGGTCAATTTAATTTATTCAATTCACTTATAGCGCATTTCTATGGACTGTGGGGGAAACCGGAGCACCCGGAGGAAACCCATGCGAACGCGGGGAGAACATGCAAACTCCACACAGAAATGCCAACTGACCCAGCAGTGGCTTGAACCAGCAACCTTCTTTCTGTGAGGCGACAGCACTACCTACTGCACCACCGCGTCTCCAAATATATTCTTGTTACAAAAAGTATTTTGAGAATTTTTCACGAAAAAGGTTGTAGTTTTTTTATGTGGTTACTATGAAAACACTCTTGTAACTTTTAAAAAAACTTTTTATATAGTCGTATAGTCTTATTGTTTTTTAAAGGTGTGTCTTTAATTACTCACTGAATTACTTGCATGAACTAATTATGAACAATATTTGTGAAGCATCTATTAAACATGATCAAAACCCAAATTCATAATTGTTAACATTGATTAATGCAGTGGTTCCGAAACTTTTCAGCCCGCGACCCCTAAAATAATAATGCCATATATTTATAAATATGCAAACATTGCTCATCCAACATTAGGCCTATATAAACATGAGCTTATTGACAACACAAAAAATTGCAACTGTCTAACAACCATATAATTTTATAGTCATTTATTAATTTGTTTAATTTAATATTAACCATAAATAATAATATAAACTAATAATATTTACTAAAGAGACTTGTAGAAACAGTGTTTTCACCACAAGTCTATTCTTGGTTTATTTTTGTAGACCACCAAAACCTGGTAATAATAAATAACCTGGTGTTATAAAATCAATCTGCTGCAGCTGACGCTATTGCTGTGTTGTTAATCTAATGTAAACACACCGATCCTATAAAATAATTAAAATGCTTTTCATTTGCATGTTGTTGTTTTTACTTTTAAAAACAACTATTTTTCAATTTCCGTTGGTTATGGATAAAATATGTTAATTCTAAAAGTTTAATAAAATTTAGTTGACTTTTGGAAATCACCAAGCATTGTCATTGTCCCGCAACGGGAATCACTGTAAATGTTCATGACCTAGCAATGAGCAACTTTATTTTCATTAATGTAATAAATGTATTGTTCATTTTGTTATTGTTAGTAAATAAATTAATTAATATAACCTCATTGTATAGTGTTACCATTTAATTAAACCATGGATTTAATTAATGAGTTAGTTTAACAATGGTAACCATAAATCCTGCATTTTTCTATAATGACCATAATTTAATCATGGTATTAATGTTGAAACCTTTTAAGCACAAATTGTTATCAAGGCAAAAAAAAAAAAAAAAAAAAACGCACTTGTATAACAATAAAACCATGGTTTCACAGAAAAAAGTATCAACAACCTTTTTTCACTTTATATAGCAATGGTCTCAAACTCAATTCCTGGAGGGCCACAGCTATGCATAGTTTACCTCCAACCACCTGCAACTCACATCTGCTTAATAGTCTAGTAGTAATGAACACCTTGATTAGTTGGATCAGCTGTGTTTGATTAGGGTTTGAGCAAAACTGCAGAGCTGCGGCCCTCCAGGAATTGAGTTTGAGACCTATGCTGTATAGTTTTTGTTTTGTGTTTATGTAGTGTTTGTTTTGTTTCAACTCACTTTTTGCCATGAAGATACATCACAGCATGGCAGAAGTAAAATTTTAAAAAACATCAAAAACCATTATATGCTCAGCATTTTATAATATATTATAGTGTTCTGTGGCTTGGCGAGGCAGTGGCGCAGTAGGTAGTGCTGTCGCCTCACAGCAAGATGGTAAGATGGCGGTTCATTCCGCTGTGGCGACCCCGGATTAATAAAGATACTAAGCCGACAAGAAAATGAATGAATGAATGAATGAATAGTCTGAGGCTTTGTAAAGTTTTTAAAAGTGTTTTAAAGTAGCTAAGTACGAACAAGTAAGCATCATTGTTGCTTTTATGTAAAGATGCTGCCTGTTGATGATATGATCGGTTCTTTCTGTGGTGTGCGATTCAATGAATACATTTTAAGAGGAACTCAAACCTGTCTTCAACATAGATCTGTGGAGCAGAGTTCACACATAGGCCATATCCTCTACGTACATAGTTTTACGTTAGGGCTGTATGATATTGGGAAAATCTGCCTTTGCGATATTTCATTTTTCTGCGATATTTATTGCAATAGGAATACAGTTTCACCAGATGGCTTGAATAGCTATATTTGGAAAGAAATCATTCGTTGGGATTGATTTGGGGTGATTTTTTAAGGTGTTTTGCTTTAAAATAAATAAATTGTGAGCAAAAATAATAAAATAAATAGTGCTTAACAGTTTTCCGGAGAGTCAAATGGTATTCTGGTATAGAAATTAAATAGTAATATAAAATGTAAAATAACACTGTATAATCGTCGTTGTATTAATTCAGTAAAATAATTACTCATTAAAGTTACAAATGTACTTTTTTGTGCACGAATGCTTTAAAGGGCATCTATGATAAAAATCATCTTTTGAAAGCTGTTTGGACAAAAATTTTGTGCATGTATAGTGTGTCCACAGCCATATTGGGGTGATATAAAGACAATAAGTCTCTCTTTTTTTATGTTAAAATAGCATCCAAATGCCTCCCATTTTGAGGCCCACCACAACATGACATAGGACTGCGGTTTCCCCACCCACTGAATTAATTGAAAGCCACGTATATATCTCTGTAGTAATGCGCATAATCAAATCTACAAGACAGGACTTGCGCAAAGCAACTGGGATTAAAAGATCTGTTCAGCTCTCTGTGATCATCAATCATCATCAAATGGGGTCAAGTATGACTTTTACAAGTTTAAAATGTTTTTAAAACAGTGCATGTTTGTAATGAATTACAGCGATTTTACCATATTTACTGTATCACCAGCCGCATGTCAGTACAATTATAAAAAAGACGCTTCAATTCCCATCTGTGGATGTTAAATCAGGTTTATTTTGTACATTACGTAACAGATGTCCATACAGCAGTGGATATTAACGTGTATCCTGTCACATTTGCCATGCAAAAACAGTGCAGAGTTAAACGTGTGCGCTGTGTGTGCTTTGTAACAAGATTGTGTGTGACTCATCGTTGCAAAAAGGCTTGAATTAACTCCACAACAAATACATCAAATAATCATTGGGAGAGTTCTAACTGTAGTGTTTCTTACAAACATTACAAGAGATCTGCTTCTTTCATGTCTGTCACTGTGCTGTCTCTGACATGCACGTGGGAACATTAAAGGCACAGGCCACAAAAACAGCTCCATTGTGTTCAAAGTACAAATTTCCAATGCTCTAAAAGGTATAATAAATAATCTGATGGGTGTTTTGAGCTGAAAATTTACATTCCTGTGACACAAACTTATCTTAAGTCTTGAAAAGGGGTAAAATAGGTGCCCTTTAAAATGCATTCAAATGATAAACTTTCACTCTGTTATGGTTATACTTTGCTGTGACTCCATAAAAAAATTCATGCATTCTCAACTGTTTTGCTGATCACCTATAAACCGTCAACATTGCATATCCAGTGACGTGACTATTGCGGACACACACATTGCAGTATTGATGCTGAAACGATATATATTGTGCAACCCGAATTGACATCTAACCTAAGCGTTTACTTCATAACATCACATCCTGTAAAGCTGTTTTATGATTGCTCTTTAGAGAACCATTCCTTCCCACTGAGTAATCACAGTAGATTATAAGATTCTCTCACTTCTCTGCGTAATCAAAACATGATGTCTAAAGCACTGAATTATTTTCTGACGTAAATTTCAAACGGCGACATTAGTGGGTCAGGATATGCCATTACGATCATTAGAAGAATGCGTCTACATTTTGGTCATACTACATAGTTTCATTTTTTGGTGGTCTGGTCATATATTGGTGTAATTTTAAAACATGCTATCATTCAGTTCTGGATGCAGGCCGTATTTTGACTGTGACCCGACATTCCACAAATTGTGGCTCGACAGGAAATGGACTTAAACAGATTTGGGCAACAATTGAGGTATGTGTAGTACAGTGCGGAGCTGGAGTCCATCAACAAAGCCTGTCTTAGAAGCCCCCCACATCTCCCATGTAAAGGACTTCATATCACCCACATAAGCTTTTCTCTCTGTGTCCTTGTTGAGACTCGGCATACCTTTCAAAAGCGTGTTTAGTCAACAGAAAAAGTAGTGATGTCCTGTTATGGTGAAAGCAGGCTGTCACCTGATATGTCAGAGGGCAACCATTAATGGTCTGTTTCTAGATCCTTAATCTAGGCTTCTCTCATGCGTATGGATCATTTGTTAAATATTTTAGTTTGTAAAGTCCATTCTACTTATGATCGTTGAAGCATTTTGTACTTCAGTGCATCTTTTTGCTTAAATTATTATTATTGTTTATTTTCCCATTGCGGTTTGTTATGTAAACAGGTTTGATTGTGGATTTTTAACTCCTTGGCTTCTGTAGTCTTATAAAATGACTCCTCTTGGAAATGAGAGGTATTTGCGTTCAAAATGTTGTGGGGATGGAATGTGTAATCCTGTAAGCAGGGTTAGGAATTCACAGGGTTAATTGATGTTTATGTTGACAAAACAAGGCGCATTTGGCAGATTTAAACATAAATCGTGTTATAAACAAGATGAAACCACTTGTTGCCAGTAACAGCGCGTTAAGGATTTATGTATTGTTGTTACACTTACAACTGAGAAGTAAACTGATACTGGACAATGTTGCATGGCAGGAAATGGTCAGGGTATAAATAAATCTATTAATCTAAACATTTAATATTTAATATATTTAATATTTATTGCTAGTAAATTTACACAACTTGACAAAAGTCGT